TACAGTGTTCCTAAGGAGAGTCACGTGGAGAGAAAACATTCTTTCAGGCTTTCACAGAAAGCAAACTGGTCAGGCAATGGCTGTGACTCATCCACATGGCTGACATCACAAAGGATCTACCAACAGCTGTACAGGGGTTCAGGGTAAATCCTGAGGAGATTTGACTGATCTTGTCAGATACAAAAATTACATTTCTTGTTATATAGGTCTTGTTTTATCTTGGTCTTAACTATCCAGCAGAAAAGTATAAAAACGAAGTATGAAAAGTAAAGCCATATTAATATGCTGAGCTGTAAAAGGCTCAAGACAACAACTTCTGACATTGCCAGTCCTACGGATAACCCACTACTATTATAGACTACCTGACTGTCTTGGATTACTTTGCTGAATTCATGTACCTGCAATATAGGAATGGCAATGGAATACCCATCTCTGAAAAAACTAAACAAAAAAGGTGAACATAAATGAAGGACCATTTTGTAGTGAAAAAATATGTCTATATATGCAAAATAGTTAATATAGATATACAGCTACTTTCTCTTAGTTCAATGAGAAGAAAGTTTTGAACTAATAGTGTTTGGACAGGATTTCATGTCTGTGTCTTGCACTATGAATAACTACTACAAAGACAACAATGTGCAATGTATTAATTATTGTAACTGTCCTCACTTATTTTGAAACTACCTCATTGCTACTTCTCTCTCAACAAAATTATTTAAAAAATAATAGATTGCACATTGTAAAAAAGTTTACAAACTTAATGAATATAACAATAAAAATCATCTAAAATAAACATGAAGAAGAGTTTACAGATCAATCATGTAATAGTTCTCTCTGTGCCAAAATCAAGAAACTTACAGTCATATAATTAGAATTCTCAAAGTAGAAGGGGGTAAGCAATCAATATTTAAAGATTTTAAATTTCTGAATTTATGTCATTGTAACTTGATAAGAGATGATTTATTTTATGTAAATATTGCAAAGCAAAGTGTAGAAGCTCAGCTAGATTTATTACTGTGCACGAGAATAAATGCCTTTTAATTATTGACTTCTTTCAATATAAAGTTTGCTGAATGTACAAGAAAAGTTTATCACTTAGGATTCAGAATTTTTTTAGGGGTTGGGGAGGGAAGTTATTACTCTGTCAGGAAATTATTACTTACAAACAAATATTGTCTTGATTTGATCCAAAAAATAAAACAATAAAGCTACTCTTGAGCTAATGTAGAAAATTAAAATGGCTGTTTTAAAAATGATAGAAATGTATTGCTGACAGGTTATGAGGTATTTCCTGTAAACTGTGATTGACACAAATAATATCTTTGTGTTTCTGAAAAGTAACCTGCACATGGGGGAGGGTATAATAAATATTATTTCTAACAAAAAGATCAATAAAATTTCTAAATTTAGTTAAAATTATAGCACCACATTTCCAAGGAAAATGGACCTTTTGCACAAGAAATATGAAAAAAATCATACCGAGATACACAAAACTGAAATTATCCAAAACTAATAGTAAAGAAAAAAATCATTAAGGCATATACATAGAAAAAATATTGGCTATGGAAGAACAAAATTAAATAGCATCTTATTCCACATTAGAAAAAAAAGAGCAAGTGGGTAAGAAACTAGACTTATTTATTCAAAGGACTGAAAAAAAAATCTGTCCTCATTGAATTTTACACTTAGCAAACATACCTTTGAAAACTAAAAGTAAAATATTTTCCAGTTATACAAACTTGAAATATTCTAATATCTCCAGACATAGCATATAGAAAATAACAAAGATCATAATCCAGAAGACAAGAGAAGATGCTTTTCGG